ATACCAGTCTGATCCAATGCAAGAAAAAAGTGTCACGATAACTTCAAAATAAACAACTTATATCAAATAAAGCAACATTAAACAATCCGTTAGAATTGAATATTAAACAGTAAAATTAAATATCTGCAAATAATAAACAGTTTGCACTTATCAGTTACAATAAAGAATTGCTAAACTGCAATCAATGAAAGTAATGGCAAGTCACAATGCATAAAATACCGCAAAACATACAAAACCATGTAAAAGGATCAAATAATCATATAAAATTTATTTTTTAAATATCCCTGAACTCTTCTGGTTAACAGGTGATTAACAGGCCAGCTTTTATATGTCTGCCACTAGCTCCAGCTCCAGCATCAATTTCCAGGCCACAATAGGCCTATATGATCAGACTAGTGTCTGGAAGTCCCAGCCCCGACATGTCTGAAGAGCCACATTGCGTCTTCTGCCTAGAAGCCTCTAAGCACTTTACAGTCCCCATGCATGCCACAGAGCTGAAGTATGCGTTGGACACATGCTGGCATTTGCAGAAGTTTAATATGGCTTAAAGCACGGCATCTGTGAAATGGATGATAACTTGCAGCACTTGTACGGTTCAGCATATTCAGAGGTTTGCCAATCTGGTATCTGTCAGGGTTCAAAAGTTAATTAAAAACCAGCAGGCAAGATGTATGTATGTATTTATTCCTCAGCTTTTTTTTTTTTTACACATTTTCAGGGCAATTCCATCCCTGCAGTACTTAGCCCATTCAACTCCCTTCTTGGCAAATGTAATCTCTTAATAAGTATAATTTCAAATGATCCTGCAGGTTTCATGCCTCCCAAAAAGATACATGAGGGTTTCGTGTTTACTGTTCCTTTCGCTCATTTTTGTTTTGTTTTTGGAGGGTGTGTGTGTGTGTGTGTCTGTGTAACGGATCATATTGTCAGAAATGGATATGTGATTTTGATTTGCCCCCTAGGCATCGAGGTAATTTCCCCATGCTATTTGCTCTGTGGGCATCTTCGCAACACATTGTGAACGGATTTTGTGATGTCTCTTTGAAAGCGCTGCATGCACAAGACATGTGGAATCAAACTAATGAAGCAACCTCTCTCTCTCTCTTTCTCTTTCCTCTCTCCCTGGCTCTCAATACTCTTCTCTGACGCTTCCTCAAGCTTATACAAAAGAGGTCTCGGATCGGACACTGACAGACAAATATTAAAAATAGAAAGCTCTTGGAGTTGGTTCGCATGTTCTTGAGATAATGAGGTCTTAAGAAAGACGTGGATGTTCACCTGGAACATTAGATCTGACATCCCTTTTGAGGTGAAAATTGCTAGGCTTTCTGATGACCTGCTTCCTTGCCAGGTACACACAGGGGGAAAGGCTAAGGGCTAAAAGAGGAACAAAAGAGAGGCAGAGATGAAAGATTTCAGAGAATCGTAGAATTGGGAGGGAACACCAAGTCTATCTAGTCGACCCTGCAATGCAGGAATCTTTGGACAAACTGACAACCCGGAGATTTAAGAGTCTCATGCTCTACTGAAAGAGAGCCTTGCTGTTTTCACATCCCTAAGTATTTTAATTTATGATTTATAATATAAATTTATATTAAATTTATGAAAAAGGGATGGTACCAGAAACGTGTTTGTGAGAACAGAAGTTGCTGCTTTATGCAGTGTCAGATCTTTGGTCTGTCTGGCACTAAAACTGCTAGCACGTTTACAAAGCTAAGCACTTAATAGAAACAGCAACATTTTGTGCCTGGGGAAAAGGCATTTCTCCAGTCTAGCGACTGATGGGGAGCTGTGTGCAGAAGGGGCTGTGGTGCAGCTGCTACTGTATCTTCCCAGCAGGTGGGTCAACGTTGCTTATCAGGAGGGAGAGGTGGCAAGGAAGTTCTCATGGAGAGGTGTTGGAGGTTGGCTCCAACAGTGCATTTCCATGGCATCAACCTCCTTACCATCTACCCCTTCCTCTCTTCCACCTGGGAAACATCAGCACCCTACTTGCAAGGATGCCCTGTATCCAAGGCCAGTCCTTTACTCCTGAGGAGTAATTCATGCCTCAGGAGTCCTTGCCTGTGGTTAGACACTTCACCAGATGGGCCAGGTTTCCATGGCACATTTACAGGGCCACCTTTCTGTCTGGCTGAGGACCTGATCAGCCTTGATGACAGAGGATGAACTCATCTTGGGGGTATGGATGGCTCTTCCTCAGCTTTGCTAGAGGATCGTGACTCTTCTTCCCCTAATTGAGTCTGACCCAGGGTTTGGTGTAAGGCCAAGGCCTCCTGCATGGCTGACTCCACAGGAAGTGAGTGGGCCACACCTAGTTAGTCACTTTTGTCATAATAATAATCATCATCATCATCATCATCATCACCATCATCATCATAATTTATTCTTTATACCCCGCCCATCTGGCTGGGTCTCCCCAGCCGCCCTGGGCGGCTTCCAACAAAGTATTAAAATACAGTGGTCTGTTAAACATTAAAAACTTCCCTAAACAGGGCTGCCTTCAGATGTCTATGCCAAATATGGTTGTAGGAGTTGACTTCTCGTGAGTATGGCAAACATTTGAGGAATTCAGTCTTTGTGAAACCCTATGCAAAATGATCTGATCCACCCCCTTGCAGGTCAGAATTTAGCTGCCCACCAAACTCCCCATTTTTCCAAACATGGCAATGTGGTTCTCAGCAGCTTAAACACACACACACACACACACACACACACACACACAAACACACACACACACAAACACAGATACACACATGAAAGACCTTTCCATTCTATTTTTGAGAGAAAACTTATATTTAAATTCACATTTTGAGAGAAAACACACATTTATACACATTTTGATAGGTTTTTTTAAAAAATTGCTGGTGAATACAGAACAGAATGGAATTATGGGTAAAAACGTTCAAAATCAACACAGACCAGAAAGAGACAGGTTCATCCACCCCTATTCCACCTTCCCCTGCTGTGAACACAAATTATGTCTCTTTTCTCCTTAAAAAGAGAGAGAAAAGGGAGGGAAAGTGAGGGGGGAGGAAGAGAGGAAGAAGGAAGGGGGGAGACCTGCATTTTTTGAACTGCTTAGAAATATATATTCATCTGTATTTCGCTGTTGATTATGAAGGAATTGTTTGGCCAAAATCCTAAACGGTTCCAGTGAACAGTAATATTGATGTATGAGCAAACAGTCACAGCAAGAAGGCAAGCAAGCTTCACAGAATTAATTTTAATTATTATGCCTCTGTTATACAATTAGATCTTTTTTGTTCCAACATTATTTCATTTATAAATTTTAATTAAAAAGCCCAACCCTCCACAGCGCTTACATTTATGCAGGTATTAAAAAACCCCCAGCAATAACTATAGATTTCCATATATATCTGCTGTTAAAGGGGAAAGCAAACAATAGAGTCATCTCCTAGACGGTTTTTAATTTCTCAGCAGGAATAAGCACTCTATCATTTGAAAAGTGAAAGATACAAATGGCATAATGTGAGAAGAAAACTGCTTTTGTGCACTTAATATGCTATTTTTACATAAAATAAAAATTTGCTAGTGCACACTGACCTCCCTGACTACTGAAATCTCCTCCCTCTACCCCTGTGGGCACATTTGCATAACAGATATAGTGTTGCCAGCACCATTCATCCAGTGCAACTTACTTTATATTGACAACAACAGAATGTGACTTTCAGGGGAGGGTCACGGGCCTTGCGGGTGCCAGGAAAAGCCTCACTGAACACATGCACATCTCTGGGTGCCACACGGGTGACCAATGCTCTACCAAGTAGGACTTCCACATGCCAAAGTTCTAGATAGGTAGGTTCCCACAAGCACATGTATATTTCTCATGTGAGCTGAACCTCATCTACCTGAATACTTGAGGTAGCAATAAAGAGGAGGGCAAGGGATATGGGTGGTGCTGTGGTCTAAACCACTGAGCCTCTTGGGCTTGCTGATCAGAAGGTCGGCGGTTCCAATCCCCGTGATGGGGTGAGCTCTTGTTGCTCTGTCCCAGCCCCTACCAAACTAACAGTTCGAAAGCACACCAGTGCGAGTAGATAAATAGGTAACGCTGTGGCAGGAAGGTAAATGGCATTTCCGTGCCCTCTGGTTTCCGCCACTGTGTTCCGTTGTGCTAGTAGCAGTTTAGTCATGCTGGCCACATGATCCGGAAAGCTGTCTTGGGACAAACGCCGGCTCCCTAGGCCTGAAAGCGAGATGAGCACCGCAACCCCATAGTCGCCTTTGACTGAACTTAACTGTCCAGGGGTCCTTTACCTTTTACCTAAAGAATATTTGTCTCCGACCAGGGTAATAACCAGTTCATTCCCATGTAGCAGGAACTGATTTCTTAAATGTGTTCAACGTAGGACAAGTTCTCTCTGAGGGGCGCGTGGGGCAGAATTTCCATTCAGTTGTTGTTGTTGTTGTTGTTGTTGTTGTTAATAATAATAATAGAATTTATATGCTGCCCTATACCTGGAGGTCTCAAGGCAGTTCACAGTTTGCATTTAATGGCAGGCCAACCAGATTCACACATTTTGAAACAACCACAGCCTTCCTTTGAAACTGGAACTCCCTTATTTATTTATTTTTCAAAAAAGAAAAGGAAAAAGAAAAGAACCCACAGAGTAGGGCCATGGGCGGCTCGGGCTCAGCCTGCTCTGTATGCCAGGGCTGCTGCCAGCCCAAGCTGGAGAAAGAGGCGCAAGGGCGAGGGCACTCTGTATGCTGCAGCCGCTGTCACTTTAAATAGTCAGAGCTCCCTCCCCCAAAGAATTCTGGGAGCTGTAAAACGTGATGAGAGTTGTTAGGAGACTCTTGTTGCCCCCACAGAGCTGCAGAGCTGCCTGGGAAGAGGGATTGATTGTGAAACCCCTCTGGGAATTGTATCTCTGTGATGGGAATAGGAGTCTCCCAGCAACGCTCAGCACCCTTAACAAACCACAGCTCCCAGAATTCTTTGGGGGAAGCCATGATTGTTTAAAGTGGTATGACACCACTTTAGATATATGGTTTGAATGTGACCTTGGACTCACCAGGGTCAGCCTTCCTCAACCTCAAGAGTTTTTGGTCTCCATTCCCATCAGCCCCAGACAGCACAGCTGCGTTGTCTGGGGCCGTGCAGAGCTGCAGTCCCAAAACATCTGGCTGCATCAGGTTGCACTGTGCCTAAGTTTAGATCGGGAGCAGGGGCTTCTCTTCGGCTTTGCAAACTTCTGAGCATATTGATGGCGGAGGAAATAATGGCAGTTTGGGAATTGGATTTTTACATATGCTCCTAAATTTACAGCATATACAAAACTAACTCACATTTGCACATGTATGGAGATTGGCATCCACTTTTCAACCAATAGTGCTCTCCTATCCACGCACACCCTGCCCCCACCCCCGATGCAACTAATTTATGGAGGTTTGTACTTTGGGATGCTACATTATTCCAGGCCTGTGCCAAATCTCTCAGAGCTCAATAGCCAGCCTGCCGACTTAAATTAAAGGATTCATCAAGCCCCCTTTTTATTCATCCACAATCTGAATGTGCCCATTATTTTGCACTGCCTCCTTTCCCGCCGCTGCCCTTTTCCCCCCTCTCCAGTTCAGTTCAGCTTGAATTTCATTACAGCTTTTCTTCCCCCCATCTCTTTGTAGGCCCGCATTCATCACATTTGTTCTGAATGGCAAAGTCTCCCTATCTGCGGGGAATGTTGACAACAGATTGTTTCACAATTAATTGAAAAGCAAAACCTGGACATTCTCAATCACCTGCTGATGGGAATTCCTTGGTACAACCTCAGTAAATCAACGGTGCGTAGCTGCGGAGAGGAAAGGCAGCTCGCGAACAGCCAGCCGTCGCTCCAACCATATGAATGCACAGTGAAAATCAGGGCTTAGGTGGGAGTAGAGAGCCTTCGGAAGAAAGATCCCTCTCCTCCACCAAAGCTTGAGTGTGACCAAGGAGATGTCATTTGGCCTGGCGGAGACAGCTCAGCAGGGTTGCCAACTTTTCTGTGAGTTTTGCTCTTATGCATTTAACATCAAACCCAAGGATAGCTATTACACACGGGCAAAAAAGAAAGACACAGAGGTTTGCATATGCTAAGGTAAAGGTAAAGGGACCCCTGACCATTAGGTCCAGTCATGGACGACTCTGGGGTTGCGGCGCTCATCTCGCTTTATTGGCTGAGGGAGCCGGCGCACAGCTTCCAGGTCATGTGGCCAGCATGGCTAAGCTGCTTCTGGCGAACCAGAGTAGCGCATGGAAACGCCGTTTATCTTCCCGCTGCAGCGGTGCCTATTTATCTACTTGCACTTTGACGTGCTTTCGAACTGCTAGGTGGGCAGGAGCAGGGACCGAACAACGGGAGCTCACCCTGCCACGGGGATTCAAAACGCCGACCTTCTGATCGGCAAGGCCTAGGCTCTGTGGTTTAGACCACTGCGCCACCTGCGTCCCTGGATGCTAAGGTACAAACGCACATTTAGAAGCAACAGCTACAATTTAAACAGAAATACAATACATAGAGGGGGAAACCAGGTGTTCTGTGCTAGTGACAGAGTATATGCTACCACTGCCAGGGGTGTGTGGGTGGGGAAACACCCGCCCCCCGAGAGGGGCAGGATGTGGAGGGAGCCCGTGGTGGGAGCACCAGGCTAGCCCCCACTGCTGCTTCAAGGGCGCCTTGCAAAGCAGCACGGGGAGCACCTCCTCTTCTCTCCTTCTCTCTGCCCTCAGGTCAGACCTGACCCAGGAATGGAGCTATGGCCGACTGGCTGCGTTGGGCCCTTGTGCGAGGGAGCTGACTCCCTTGCACATTGGAGTCAGGCCCCGGAGGCTCAGCCCGGCCGCGGCTTCCCTCCCCATGGCCTTGATGAGATAGCCTGCTGTGAACTAACCTGAACACACACCCTCAAAAAAATTTGCCCATGGGTCATGCCCCCCCAAGCTATTCCACTCTTCCTTGTGCCATCCATCTCAGTTGGCTGTTTAGGTGCTGACTGTGGCTGTGCCCCTCCTGATCTCCTGCTGGAAGATATGACTGAGTTGTGAATGCCATAAAGTCCAATATGAGACTTAGAACTTAAACTACTTCAGATAAGCTTGAGATTCCTGCATCGCAGGGGGTTGGACTAGATAACCCTTGGAATCCCTTCCAACTCTACGATTCTATAGTCTCAGAGGCAGCTTCTTCTAGATCAGCGGCTCTCAACCTGTGGGTCCCCAGATGTCATTGGACTACAACTCCCATCATCCCTGAGCCCTTGCTAGCTAGGAGTGATGGGAGTTGTAGTTCAACAACAGCTGGGGACCCACAGGTTGAGAAAGGTGAACCTTACTGTGTGATAAGATCTAGGAGGAAGGCTGGCTCAGAGTATCACTGTCACATAGGTTCAGCTGACAGCAAAGAGAAGAATATTTTGTCTGTAATGGCCCCCAAAGCTAAGGAATAATTGTACTGACAAGGTTTAGTAAGCAACCTCCAATTTAGCAAGTTCTGAGTTGAATTAGAGCAAGGGGGTTGCAAAAAAGCACCCTTCTCTCGTTTACACCTCTTTTACACCCCTTTAAAAAGAGGCAAAATGTTTGCAAAGGTATATGTCTCTTGCAGCGCCAGCCCAAAGTGTCTTAATGCCTACAGTGAAGGACAATATGATAGTGTCTCCTAATTCCATGCACAGAAGCTAACTGAATTGGCAGCTTCCTCATGGTTACAGGATGATATTATGCATCATATAACAGAAAAACATGGCTGGGGGCTCATAAGGAGCTGATATTACTGCCCCAAGCATCTCCAGCCCAAGGCGGTTGCCTCACTCTGCCTTATGTTAGGGCAAACCCTGAGTCGCTTGTCTGACTGTGAATAACCTCCAAGCGTAACAGCAACTTGCCCCATGGTGTACCGTGACCTTGTACTAAAGACCCAGGAATACATGCGTTCATTAGGTCAATGCATGCACATGAATCTGTGTACACATGTAGGCAAGGACATTAAAAACCCCCAGCAACCTTGCTGACACTCTTTCACTGCAAATTAGTTGCATCCTCCTGACATTCAGCAGAAGGCAGATGAGGATGCCCATCTCATAATACGGTCTGGATGGTTGACATTCACAGTTGGCTATGCATCTAAATGCAATGGTGTTGAGCTGCATTGAACGCCTTTTAATGGGATGCACATTCAGTGATCCTTCAAGTGCACATTCCCATCACCATCTTGTGCAACTAGAGCAGGACCAAGTTATGGAGATCTTGCCCTGCAGTGCTGGTGGGCAACAAAATGGCCAGTACAGTCTAGCAAGGCAAGGAGTGCTGGCCCAATAGCCTTAGCAACTGGAACAATTTCCCTCTGCCACCCATTCACAGTGAGGGCAGTGAGAGTGAGCTCTGCTCGTCCTCCCTATCGTCAGGACAAATCTGATTGGCTACCTGGTGAATGTCACCACCACATTCATCCTGTGATCACTGATTGGTTGGAATCACAGTGGAAGAGAAAGAAACTCTAATATCATTATATTAGGACTTCAGACAGGCATGAGGGGGAAAACCTAAAGGTTTGGCCTTTTACTGCGGAGGAAATTGCTATGGTTGAAGAAGATTTTAAAAGGACCTTCTTTACCCCACAAAACCCTCAGAAATGCTCTTTTTCTTTTTAACTTTCCCAAAGGTATTCAAAACCCATCTCATCAGGACAAAATTTGGATACTGAAACTAATGCTGGCTAGTTGCAAGTTTCCAGGGCGGCGGCGGTGGCGGAGGGGTCTGTGTCTACATTCTTTTGCATGTTGAAGATTTTGTGGGCATCGTGAAAATCAGTGCATCTAAGGAAGTGATTAAAAAAACAAAACAAAACTATGTTGCCTCTACGCCCCAATTCAGATGTTGACTAACAATACGGAAATGTCTCCTTCTGTTCTGTGCAAAACGGTTTATTAAAACAAGAGTCAATATCATCCTATATATTAAAACATCACGCCAAGTGTCAGAATAGTAACGGATCTGTCAAGCTTCCCCATTACAAAGCCCTATTTCAAGCCATAAAAATCCCCCTTGGGCCGAAAATTGGCATACAAGCAAACTTGAAAGGAAGCCATTCTGTGGGGTTTGAATCATAAGAGTGCAAAGAAAATTGATTTAAAATGTTTGAGAGACTTTTTGTGCTCATATAGCTGTCAAAAAATGAGATACACGCTTTAACATCTCCCCCACCCGGGGGGGTGGGGGGAATGCTAGCTTTTGTTTTGTTTTTTGTTAAGTCCCCACAGAAAAAGTCAAAATAAAGATAGGGAGAAATGGTCAGACTGAAGAATCAGGGAAGATCAGCTGTAAATGGTCGGGATAGTTCAGTTGGTTAGAGGATGGTGCTGGTAACCCCAAGGCTGCAGGCTCAATCCCTGTGTGGGATATCTGCCTATTTCTCCATTGCAGGGGGTTGGACTAGATGATCCTCAGGATCCCTTCCAACTCAACGATTCTATGATTCTATGAAGAACATAAGAATACCCCTGCTGGATTAGGCCAAAGGACCATCTAATCTAGCATCCTGTTCTCACAGTGGCCAATCAAATGTCTCTAGGAAGTATTAAATCTCCAGGAACATAAGGAGTGATGCCTGCTGTCTACAGAGAAGTGATGTGATGTTTGCCAGGAGGTCTTTGCTCTATCTGTGTCAGCGGAAGCAGACTCAAAATCTTGTCATTCTGGGGAGTTACCTTCTTAGGCTGGGGTGTTAAGAGGCCAGAAGAGGAGTTCAAGTCTATCTCCTACAAGGCAGCATCAGTTCCCCCGCCGTCTCTAGGAAGCTCACCAGAAGGACAAGAGCACAACAGTGCTCTCCCTCCCCACCTCTGAAACTGCAGGACACCTACATGGTTTGGGTTCCCCAGCAGCAACCATATGCCACTGGTTGGACCCAATTTAGGGAACAGATGGGGAGTTTGGGGCCAAACTGAAATTGGAAAATGGTGGGTTGTCCTTCCAGACTAAGGAGCGCCTTCAAAGCTACGTGTTGCACCACTGCGTCTCAACTAGGATGCTTAGAGCAGGGCAGGCTCTTTCTTAACCAAAGTCAATGTGGGGTGGCACACTGGATTGACACCACAGCATATGGGGAAGGGGATGTTACCCTCTCTCCCTTCTTCTGCTTCCACCATCTCCTGGTGGCCCTGGGCATCTCCAGGTGTGTTCTCTGTCTGAAAGCCACTGAGAGCCACTGTCAGTCAGTGCAAGCAATACTGCGCTGGATGGACCAGTGGTTGGACTAAGTATAAGGCATCTTTCCATATTCTTCTGCTATATCCTCCAGATATGTTATTTAGTTACTTTAAATTTCAGCTTTAGGAGCAAACAGTAGTGTCGGGAAGGGGTGATTTTTTGCTGGGGGGGAGACCAGAATGGGAAAGAAAGAGCAATCCCCTCCCTGCATGCTATAGTCCTGCACATTCCCCCATCATGACCAAGCTCCACAATTTGGGGGCCATTACAGAGAAGGCCCTCCTGCAACTCAGAGGGAGATGGCACTGTAAGAGCCTCTCCTGGAGATTGAAACATCTTGACTGGCACATGGGGGGGGGATGCACTCTTGTGGGTATTGGGGGGGGGAGCTGTTTAGGGCTTAAAACACAAAGATGGGTAGCTTGAATTAGGCTCAGAACAAAATAAGCAACCAGTATAGCAGGATGGACATTGTGCTTGTCAAAAGGCAGTGAAGGCCATCAACTTGGATGCTTTAAAAGAGTAGAAAAATCAATGGAGCAGGGCTTCCCAAACCTGAGACTTCAGCTGCTTTTGGACAAAATTCCCATCATCCCTGACCACTGGTCCCGCTAGCTAGGGATGATAGGAGTTGTAGTCCAAAACAGCTGGAAACCCAAATTTGGGAAACACTGCTTTAGAGAATATGGCTATTAATGGCTACTAACCCAGATGGTGCTGTGGGTTAAACCACAGAGCCTAGGACTTGCTGATCAGAAGGTCGGTGGTTTGAATCCCCGTGACGGGGTGAGCTCCCGTTGCTCGGTCCCAGCTCCTGCCAACCTAGCAGTTCGAAACCACGCAAAGTGCAAATAGATAAATAGGTACCGCTCTGGCGGGAAGCTAAACTGCATTTCCGTGCGCTGCTCTGGTTCACCAGAAGCGGCTTAGTCATGCTGGCCACATGACCCGGAAGCTGTCTGCGGACAAATGCCGGCTCCCTTGGCCAATAAAGTGAGATGAGCGCCGCAACCCCAGAGTTGGCCACAACTGGACCTAATGGTCAGGGGCCCCTTTACCTTTACCTTTAACCCAGATGGTTATGTTCTACCTCTACAGTCAGATGTGGCAAGTTTCTGAATATCAGTTGCTGGTGGGCAGATTTTTGTTGCTTTCAGGTCCTGCTTGCATGCTTTCTATAGGCATTGGGTTGGCCACTGTAAGAAACAGGATGCTGGTCAATCTAGGCCATTGGTGTGATCCAGCAGGCACTTATTATGTAAGGTCAACATCAACCCAATGCCTACAGCCTCTCATTTCTCACCTCTCTTTATGCTATGATATTAAACCAAGGCTCTCCAAGTAAGAACGGGTTTCAGACATAACTAACTTGAAGAACTCTATTAATTTGAACTAGGATTAAAGTATGTATACATCAAACTTCAGCTGCAAGATGGATACATTTGTGTTGGTGTAAAATCTGTACGTGAGCAAGGTCATATGCCGTAGGGAACAGGAGCTATTGGAGTTCAAAGCCTGATTGTTCAAGGGCACTTAGAAATAAGATATCTGAGTTGTTTAAGGCAACCAAAGTATCAAATAATGTTGAGTGCCATATGAACATCAACTCATTCCGGGGCAATAAAGTGGACCTTTGGGAAATAAATAAACTGGTTAATTTATCACACAAAGAAGCGCTCTGGGTATTATCCAGTGTAATTTTCACACTGGTGAAGAGGATCATAAAACAAAAAGTGATTCAAACAACCCTTTGCGGCGTTTGGTTCATTTCCCTTCACCTTGCAGAAATCAATACAAACTTTTGATTTACCTTGAATCTGCTCTCTCTCTCCAATGCACCTTGTGTGCATAACTCAAACATTCAAAAGCTTCGCATCTCTACAGAAGGCAAGGTAGGTGTTTGTGGCACTCCTTCCTAGCACGGCACACAGAGCGAAAAAAGCACTTATGTTTACTCGTATTAATTTGAGTGCTGGTATTACCAGACAAGAAAAGATTATATTTGTGCTCTTTGTTTGCTTCTAATTTCTTTCAGTATTGAAAAGCGATTACCAAACCAAAAAAAGTAAAAAAGAAAAATCTCTTTGCAGTATGAATGCAAACAAGAGGTCAAGAAAGAGACAGAAAAAGCTCGTTGCACAGATGTGCTAGATTTTCTTCGTTGTCCCAATTTGCATTCTCCAACTGGAAATCAAGCAGGGCTTGGAAGCTTGGCTGTATTAATTGCAGTATTGCTAAGTCATTCTGATAAGGGCACTTGGAGGGTATATGAGAGATGCCTCACTAGTGTTTTGGTAGCTGGACTATGGAATCTAAGAAGATAAGAACATAAGAAGAGCCTGCTGGATCAGTCCAATGGCCCATCTAGTGTAGCATCCTGTTCTCAGAGTGGCCACCCAGATGCCTGTGGCAAACCCGCAAGCATGGGCTGAACATAAGGGCATCCTCCTCTTCTGTGGTTTCCAGCAACTGGTATTCAGAAAAATTACTGCGTCCAACCATGGACAAATAATCTAAGACAAATCTTTTCACTGGATGCTGCTGATTTGAAACCAACATGTACTATTGACATTGTCAGAGTTTGTATAGTTTGATAGCTTGCTATCCAAAATGTCAGGAGTCCAGTCCCCGGCTGATAACACAGTGAACGTAGTTAATTTAAAAGGATGACTTATTGTCAAAACAAACAGATCACTCCGGACGACTCTAACACAGCCTCCGCCATCATCAGTCATGATGACCCTTCTGAAAAATGCTTCCGGCAAGACCAGAAGCAACTGAACTTTTGCTTCATATGTCTTTTGTTTTGCTTCCTATCTTGCAGCCCTCCCATTAGCCAAGACCTCGGTCTGAGGGGGTTAGCTCCCTCCTCTTCCCCATTCTCTGAGAGGCTGTCTCTTAACTCTTTTCCACCTGTTTGTGCTTCCTGCAAGTGTTAACTGCGTTCCCGTTCACTCTCTGCCATTCCCTTATCAGCTGGCATTCCAAAGAGTGGGGGAGTTGGCACTAGCCAACGCTCATCCTGCATGGCAGTTAACCCTCTCTGTTCCTGACTGCTTTCTTCAATGGGCAGCAACCCTTCCGTGGAAGCTGGCTGCAAACTTTCCCTGGAAACTGGCTCATTCATGACACAAAGTAACTCATAATCAGAGTATGCTCACTAAAATTGATAAACTGAAGTTACTTACATCTTTTGATTTCACTGTGTCTGCTCTAAGATTGGATATTGCAGGTATCAGCCATACTTTCCTCATTCTTCCCCTAACCTTGAGCTACAAGCCAAGCTACTCCTCCAATTCCTAGTTGTTGCTGTGGCATCACCAGTGGCAGGCAGGCAAGGAAGTCTTTCTCAATTTCTTTGGAGTTTGGACATGTTGTTTTCAAGGTGACCATCATCATCATCATTTATTTATACCCCGCCCATCTGGCTGGGCTTCCCCAGCCACTCTGGGCGGCTTCCAAAAAAATATTAAAATACTGTAATACATTAAACATTAAAAGCTTCCCTAAACAGGGCTGCCTTCAGATGTCTTCTAAAAGTCTGGTAGTTGTTATTCTCTTTGACATCTGGTGGGAGGGCGTGCCACAGGGAGGGCGCCACTACCGAGAAGGGGAAATCTCACTTTCCAGGGTCCCTGGAGCATAAGATACTGTTGTAGCCATGTTTCAAATGCCATGAAGGAAAAGGGGAAAGATATCTCTACGACCATAGCAGCAGCCAGAGAAGTGCATTTACAAACTCATGGAGAGAAGACTGGAGTTTCAGACTCCATCAAACTTTGGATCATGTCATAGTGAACATGATGAAATCTGAATAAGCATTGGGATTAATCAAATAAAATCAAATAAAAACCACTCAATTTGCTGAAACCAATCCTGTTCTGAATTGGGCGTGTGGGGTGTTCATCACCTATCACTGAGTGTCCTAAAATCCATTACTGCATTAAGATGGCAAAGTCACATCTGTCAGAAATCAGACAAAAGTTTCACAGACAGCAAATTATGTGCTTCATCGACCTCCCAAAGTTCAAAGACTTGAGGTTGGGGAAAACATTTGTCCTAAAAATTCAAGTTCTTTTTCATTACGCTGAAAGACTACCTGTGAAGAGTCTAATATAATCAATGTCATTTGAAATTTATGTTGTTTTTTAATGTTATACAGTGAACTTTACCAATGAACTGGATGCTCTGT